CTGCCGTCGCCCGCAGTGCGCGCGCTCGCTCGCGCGATCTTCTCTCCATGTCTCTCACTTTCTCGCTATGTCTCTCTCTCTCTCTTTCTCTCTCTCTCTCTCTGTCTTTTTCTCTCTTGTCTGTTCTCTCTCTCTCTCTCTCTCGTTTTGCTGTTCTCGCTCTCCTGCTCCCCCTCTATAGCTATCTCGTTCTCTGTGTGTCGACCTATCGTTCACGTAGCATCGCTACATTTGTACTTCTCTCTCCCTCTCCCTCGCTCTCTCTGTCTCCCTCATTTTCTATGTACAGATACACGATTCGTGACAGGCAATTAATACATAGACACACGCTAACGCCAAGCACGCTACGCGCGCGCGCGTAAGTTCCCGTCCACTTCGAGGACGTGACACCGGGCATCGTGCCCAGGACATGGTGGGACAGGTATCTGGGCATGCACGGCCTTTCTCTCGTGAGCAGCACCACCACGCAACCAGTAGCAGCAGCGCAAACAACACAAGCGACACCAACAGCACCTCTTGACCAGCACGACGGCAAACAGCACCACCACGCGCAACATCACCAGCGACACGAGTAGCACAAGCATGGCGACCACGACGGGAAGCAGCAGCACCACGCGCAGCAACAGCAGCACCAATGCAACCAGCAGAAGCAGCGCAAGCAATACAAAAGACACCAATAGTACCTGTGTGACCAACACGACGGCAACAGCACCACCGCGCAAACCAGCAGCAGCGACACGAGTAGCACAAGCATGGCGACCACGACGGGAAGCAGCAGCACCACGCGCAGCAACAGCAGCACCAACGCAACCAGAAGCAGTAGCGCAAGCAAACACAAGAGACACCAACAATACCTCGTCGACCAGCACGACGGCAAACAGCACCACCACGCGAAACAGCAGCAGCGACACCAGCAGCAAAAGTATGGCGACCGCGACGGGAAGCAGCAGTACCACGCAGCTGAAGCGCTACCAGCAAGACCAATGGGACCTCAACGATGCCAAACAACAACACCAATCGCAGTAGCACCAGCGCAATCAGCAGCACCACCGTGACGAGCACGACGGGGAGCAGCAGCGCCATGCGAAGCAGCACCAGCGCCGCCAGCAACGCCACTGTAACCAGCGCGACCGGAAATAACGACACCACGCCCAGCAGCAGAAACGCAACTAACAGTTCCACTAGAACGAGCACGACGAGAACCAGCAGCGACAGGCGACTTGCGCTGGACTGCGCGAGCGCCCCCGCACCCAAGCCAACCAGAAACGCAGAACCAATGTCTCCAAATGTTCGCACTCCAGTACGGAACTTGAACTGGTTTTACACCGCCGTGGGACAGGTGAGCTCCACCCTGATGATGAACTTGATATTGCGGCATGAGACGAAATAATACGAGAGGAGCGTGTCGTTCAGATACTTTATGCATGCGGCTAGCTGTAAAGGCCGCGAAGCTACCATCTGTTGGATTACGACCGACCGCCTCCAAATCGGAGTACATGTTGGCCAAGCAGTGCTGTCAACCACGTCCACGGTTACAATAGCATTAGGCCTCGGCCATGTTGCACACGGACAGCATTACAACGGAAGATGGTATGCTGAATCCTGGTTTCCCAATTTCGGGGACGATACATAATTTACAAACGACTTAATCGAATCCACGTATTGAAAATCCTGACAGTAGCCTTTGTGCTACGAATCACTGGGGTTTACCCTGTGCTCTTCTGATTCGTTTCATTCCGCACTCTACTTCTCAACCAAACCTTGGCGCACAGGCACCACCAGGTGATGAACTTGAACTGGAAGGGGTTCGGAAGTGTGGCCGGCGGAAAGGTTGGTTCCCGTACTCCAGCGCAAAGCGTCATGGCCCGGATATTTCGTTCTTGCGCTGCATGCCAGGGACGTCCCACGGCAGAGCCCACAGTGTCTCCCACAGGCGGTGGCTGCTCACCCCTCGGTTGTGAAACAGCAGCACGAGCGAAACGAGCAGTTCCACGATGACTAGCGCAAGAGGGACCAGCATCACTACCAACAGCAGCACCACCAGCGACATCAGCAGCAAAACTGCGAGCAGCAAGACAAAAATAGCACCACTACGCGCAGCACCAGTGCCACCAGCAGCACCACTGCACCGAGGACTACCGAAAACAGAAACGCGCAGCAACATCAACGCCGCCACCAGCAGTAGCGCGAGCAGCACGAACGCCACCAAAAGTACCTCTGTGACAACACGACAGCAAGCAGCAGCACCACGCGCAGCAGCACCAGCGTCACCAGCAACACCACTGTGACGAGCACAACGGGAAGCAGCAGCACGACGCGCACAAGCACCAGCGCAACAGCACCTCAACGTTGACCAGCACAACGGGACCCAGTAGTTCCGCCCGCACCAGCTCTATCGCAACGAGCAGAAGCAGAGCGACGAGCTCTACAGCAGCATCGACGCCACCACCAGCAGCAGTTCGAGCAGCAACAGCGACACCTGTAGTATCTCTGCGGCCAGCATAGCAGCAAGCAGCACAACCATGCACATAAGAACTTGCGGCACTAGCAGCACCAAAATGACGACCGCGACGGGAATCAGCAACACCACGCGGAGCAACATCAACTAGCATCAACACCACAGTAGCCCGACTGTAACGAGCACGACAGCAGGCAGCGGCACCAAGCGCAGCAGCACCAGCGCCACCAGCAGCACCACTGCGACGAGCACGATGGGAAACAGCAGCGCCACGCGAAGCAGCACCAGCGCCACCTGCAGTTGCAGTGCGACCTGCACGACTGGAAGCAGCAGCGCTACGCGCATCAGCGCAAGCACAACGAGCAGCACCACTGTGACGAGCACGACAAGATCCAGCAGCGATGCACATAGAAGCACCCGCGCCACCAGAAACATCACTGTGGCCGACACGACGGGAGCAGCAGCGCAGCGCGAAGCAACACAAACGCTACACTAAGACTCTAAGAGCTTGCTAGAACGAACACGATGGAAACCAGCAGCGCCAACCGATTCGAGCTGGACTGCGCGAGCGTCCCCACCCCCCCGCTGGCCAGACCGGCGGGGGAGGAGGCGCTCCCGTACTCCAGCGCAAAGCGTCACGGCCCAGATCGTTCGATTTGGCGCTGGGCACCGGGGGCGCCCCTGAGCAGAGATGCGCACTCCGTCCGCGCGCAGCTTGGCTGGGAGCCGGTGCGAACCCCACCCCTGGGAGCAACTGCTGCTCGGCCCAAGCCCGAGCGACGGTCGCTCCCCGCGAGAAGGGTTGCGCCAGCCAAGGCCTATCATAGCATCGCTACCCGGGAAGGCCAGGGCGAGCGCGAGGTCGTCGTAGCGGCTCGTTGTGGGCACACCGTCAGCGCCCGCTGCCTGCCTGCGCCCTGTCTGGCCAGCAGCTCCAGCGCCTTGCAGCGGCGCCCTGCCCGGCCAGCACCAGCACCGAACCTGGACAGCAGTGGCCCCTGGGTAGCGCACTTCGACCGCCGTCGTCAAGGGGTGTCCGACGGCCGCCGCGCTGCCGGCGTCGCCAATGCCCGCTGCGGCGGCTGCGGGCCGCCACGCGTCAGGCATGCAGCAAGAGCAGCGCAAGCGCAACAATCAGTTCCACCAAGACCAGCACGACAGGAAACTTCAGCATCACTCGCAGCAGCACCAGCGCCACCATCACCGCCTCTGTGAGTAGCGAGACAGAAACTAGAATCGATACGGCACCACTACGCGCAACAGCACCAGCAGCACCATCAGCAAAACCGCGCGCGCCACCAGCAGCAGAGCAATGATAAGACCAGCACTAGCGCCACTGGTAGCACCTCTGTGACCATCAAGACGGCAAGTAACATCGCCACGCGCAGCAGAACTAGCACGACAACACCACGCGCAGCACTACTAGCTCAACCAGCAGCACCAGCGCAGTCAACACGGCAGGAGGCAGTAGCACCACGCACACCAACACTAGCGCAACTAGTGGCACCAGGGTGCCCAGCACAATGGTAACTAGCAGCACTGCCGAAACCAGCAGTACCAGCGTGACCAGCACAACAGGAAACAGCAGCACGAAGCGCAGCAGCACGAACGCCACAAGCAGCACATCGCGCAACACTACCAACGCCACCACCATACTAACTGTGACCAGCAAAACGGGACACAGCAACACTATCCGCACCAGCAAAAGCACAACGAGCAGTACCAGTGTGACGAGCACTGCCAGAGGGCAGCACCACTGCGACAAGCCCGACGAGAAGCAGCAGCACAAGCGCAGCGAGGAGTACCAGCGTGAGGAAGGCATCACTGGAAGCAGTACCAATGTGAACAGCACGGCGGAAAACAGCAGCACCATGCACAGCACTGCTAGCGGCACCAGCAGCACCATCCACCTGTGCGAACAGCACTACAATAACCAGCAGCACAACGCGAAAAAGCCCAAGCGGCACCTTGGCGCCAAACTGGCCGCGGACGGGACCGCGATACGGAAGCTTGCGCAGCCCACAGGCTTGTGAGGCTACGCTTTCCCCTGTGGCGAGAACGATGATCGAAATCAAGATGCTGCGGGCGCCCCAGCGATGGTACAATGTATAATCAAGGTGGGAACGGCACTCCCCAATCAAGCGTGCGGCCAGCGCCGAAGAGACAGAGGCGATACCAGCATTCGCCATCATGTTTTCGACCGGCGCCAGGCGAGTGCAGCAATCCCAATTGAGATCGGGGCCCGCGCTGAAGCGAGAACAACAATCGCATATGCGCACAACCAGTGTCTAGGCGAAAGCGCAGTTTTGAATTAGAGATGTGGCTGGCGCCAAGGCGAGAACGATATGCTGTAGGCGACAGCAGTACTGTTCATCAGAGATGTGGCCGGCGCCAATGCGAGAACGATACGCTCAATGAAGGATGTCGCCAGCACCTAATCAGGCGACAGCAACATTGTCAATCACACATGTGGCCCACGCACAGGCGAGAACGACCCGCTCAATGAAGGATGTTGCCGGCGCCAAGGCGACAGAAACACTCT